GAGTCGTTTCACCTTTTTCACTGATTTTTATTTTTATTTTTTATTTCCATCAATGCATTTAGTACACTAAAATTTCATAGTTTTTGTACAATTTTGGAAACTAGTCATGTCACATTTAATCGAGAACATAGAGGGAATTGAAGTTAATCAAAGGGGCAAAAAAGACCAAAATTGACAATTTTGCAATGAGTTTAAAAAAGTGACATTTTTGTAGATGAAAATCTAAAAGTTGACTATTTTGGTAATTTCCATTTATATTTATTTGTGACCAGTGTCGAACGAGTAAACAATTAAAGTTGAATTAGATTGACCTCAACATGAAACTTTATCACGTCTTGTACCATGAATTTTGAGACAAGTCTTCCTTAAGTTGGAGCGATGATGTATTAGTTGAAGTGGAAAAAGAATATTGGTAATGGGGAGCCATTTTTAACAATAAGAATTTGAGAAAAAAAGTTGAAATCGTTAAGCCCTGACAATTTTGTTATTATTATTTTTTGGGTACAATACATAACTATTATATTATAAGAACTGGAAGCTTTCATAAATCAGGTGATAAATCAAATTATTAAATATATAATTATAATATGATATGCATTTATCCTGTCTTTATATCAATTGACATACTGATATTATATCCCCACCTCACCCCAAAATCTCCAGAAATTCAAATCTCTCTATACCATACATCGGCAGACTTAACTCCTACCCTACCTCATCGTAGAAAACTTCAGAAATTAAAATGTTCTCTCTTCTCAGAAGCTTTCTCTTTCTCTATATACTTTTACGAACACAAATAACTTTATAAGTGGTGGTAAGGTGGCATTGTGTTTAGAAAATAGATCTACGTGGTAGCAGTGGTAGTGCATTGCAGGTGATGAAAGTGTATTAGAGTTGATCTATTCGATAGTGGGAGTGGTAGCAACATTTTGAGTATTGTGTGATGGTAGTATTGCATTGTAGTTGACAAGATTTGTAACTAACTGTGTTAAATGTGACCAGATTTATTATTTTTTACTATACCCGTCATTATAACAAAATTGTGATTTTGCGTCAAGGTATTTACGATCACGATGAAAACAAAATTGGTTACACCTATTCACAATAAACATATACTTGGTCACAGAGAGTCACTATAAACAAACATTCACACCCTAAAGACTAACACCACGATCCACCACCACCACTCCAACGTACCATCACTACCACATTCAACTCAGGTCTACCTTTACCTCTAATCCACAAAAACAATCACAATCACCATCACTATCACTTCCACCAACACCTTCAACAAACACCAACCACCACCAGCACCATCGACATCACACCACCAACAGAACTACCACCAATAGTTTCTGAAAACACAAGACTCGAACCATCCTTTGCCACTCTTCTCTTCGCTGTTGTCAGCTGACACCCTACCACCAAAAGCACTTCTTCCGCTACCCACATTGTCGAAAACAAAGTTATTAATCTCAAATCCACCTCGAGCATTGAGCTTTTCCATTTTTATGTAAGTAGAAAGCATATTGTCTTCTGATCCCATCTCCTCCACACTTCTAATTGGTGCGTTGAATGGGTCCTACTAGATCTAGATCCTTTGGTAGCCATAAATTCACCTCAAAATATACCCTTCGATGATGGGCTGACCTCGTTGCCCTAAAAAAAGATGACATCTGATTCAACAAATGCTTAGAAAATAATCTAAATATAAGATGGTGGAACTGAGGAAGGTTGGTGAGTGGAGGGCGTGCCTCATTGCGTGCTATGAGTCGCCGTCAACAGTTCTCACGGTACTGTCAAGAGAGAGAGAGAGATTGGATGGGGTGGGGTGGGTTGAATTACTATTAATATATTTATTTAATATAATATTAAATTAATAATTTGAAATTAACACCTTAAATATTAATTATAAATTTAATCCCTTGTTTATGAAATATAATCTTTAATTGTACAGTAATTTCCCCTTTTCTTCTTGTAGGCCCATCGGCCCATTCAAGGTAAAATTCGGCCTACTTATAAATTAAAATTGGGTCCACAAATTTTACTGCAACTAATTTGCAGATTTGCTGTCCCGTCACAAATATTAGATATGTAAAATTTGTATTGAGATATTAAAATATTTATCCTTTGTTGTTTGAGTCACATTATTTTCACTAGAATGCGTTTTTGGATAGTGTATAATAAAAAATGTGTGGTTAAAAAAATAAGAAATTTTTTTGAATTTGCGTGTAATATTATTTTATTGAAGAATATGTGATTAAAATGATATTAAATCATTATTCAAGAATGTATTGTTTTGAAAGAATGTGAGTCAAACAGGGTGTTAAATTTTAGTGATAGGACATTCAAATGGAAAACAACAATTTTGAACTTGCTTAAAAATTAAGAGAACCTAAACGGACGTAGATAATATTTGATACATAATTTTTAATTCAATCCGATAGCTTAAATGGAAATATTTTAAATTTTTTCTTTCATATTGTCGAACAGTGATGAAGTTACTTTTTCAAACAAACTTAACAAGTGAACCCTCTTTCACAAGTTTTACCAAACTTCATACATTTACGATCTTTCTCAAGTTGTTGATTCTCGTGAAATGTGTTTGCTTATAAATCCTGCATATATCGGTTAAAGCAAATTTTAATTTGTTTCATACTTTTTCTCTTAAAGTTGAGCTAGCATCTTGGTTGCCAGAGGACTTGAGACCAAAAGGGCAAAGGAAATATGACGTGTGAAACCAAAACTACTATGAATTCTCTAAAAGATGATGTTGGTACCATAAAACATGTTAACTTTACTCGTATATCCAGTTGACACTTGAAAAAGACATTTAACTTTACAAATCATAAAGACAAAACTCAAAAGAAAATTCTGAACCACCCATTGTTAATTGTGTGACTCGATTTAGCTTTATTTAATTTTTGAGAAGATTGTCCCACCTTTTTTTCTCTCTTTTGGTTGTTGCCACTTTTTTTGTGTATTAAATAAAAACATGTTCACATTCGTAGGTATTAATATGTAATACATATATCGTCACTATTCTTTACGCTAAAGGAACGTTGGTCCGATGTGGTGGCCCGTGCCACTGACCGTCTTAAATTGTCCATTCTCTAAATTTTTAAGTAATATAAATATACTTTTTAACTAATAAAAAATATAAAATTTCATGCTTTATTTTGTTTTGTTCACTTGTGATATGTTCACTATATTAACTTAAATTAAATTAAACCACTTAAATAAATACATTTTTTTTATAACCATGGATGGGTGTTCGGGTCAGCTTATGCGCATTTCGACTGATCTCACAAGACCATGAAGTTTACAACCAAGTACTTACCTCAATGGTCTTGAGGGGAGTCAAACTGGAAAGCAAACTCAAGATCTGACTACTGAATTATCCTTCAAAGTTCACTTAAATAAATACATGTGATATGGTTATATGTTACCCTACTAAATTTAACGTAATACTAATAATTATTAGTTAACTTGTACTTTTGCATAGATGGCAAGTGCAATTAGCCTAATTTATGTGCATATTCCATGATGTAGATGTATTGATTGATATGAAATTTATTAATTAATATGCGTCAAGATAGATATTTATTTATATTTGTTACGTTATTCTCTTTATAATTCACCGACATAAAAGTTGTAAAAATCTTTTGTACTTTTATATATAATTCTCTCATTTAGTTCTGAAAACAACTATAAAATGTTATTAATTTTGACCAAAAATTAGATTGACCGGAAATAGGTTCTCCATGAAATTTAAAATTTACTATATTAACGATATGTTTGAGTGTGTTATAAGCACCTAGATTCACTACTTTTTTTGGTTTAAAATAAATAAATAATTAGTTAATATTCATACAGTTTAAGAAAAATGTAAATTTTAAGCAAAATCAATCATGTGCTAAGGGAAGTAAAACTAGATAAACAAACACTTCCAATGCTATATATAATATGACTTTTCTATTTGTACACTGGGGTTAACACCTTGGTGTACAGACCCCCTCACAAGAGGGGGATCCACGACGAATGAAAAAATTGTGGGCCTCCTCTTGTGAAGCAAGGCCCGTATATTATTCTAGGTTTGAGGTGTCTATGTGACATTGCCCTCGTTTGGCCCCTATTTTATAAAAATGAAAATGGGGTGGAATAGTGTTTTTTTTTTTAAAAGTGAGTAGCTGAAAAAGAAAGAAAAATTTTCGATTTACGTATAATATTATTTTGTGGAATATTGTGTAGTTGAAAATCAGAGAAAGAGAAATGGAATGTAATGCAATAGAAATTAATGAGGACCAAACGAAAACATTATATTTAGGTTTGTGATAATTCAAACATGAACGTCATGATCTAATTGTCACATATCTTACTAATAGAAATGACAAAGTATCTCCCCTTTGCTAAATTCAATTGAAAATAGTAATATTTTAATTCTCTCTTATCTAGCCGTGCCTCCTGAACATCCGGCCAGGCTTGATGGTGAATGGGATGGCCATCCTGTCCCCATTTCGATCTCTACTTGTAGTGATTTAACTTGCCTCAACATCTTGGCCTCAAATGCGTAGACTCGAACCCAAGCCTTTGTCCTTTACACTGATGTGACCTTAATCGAAATTATGTACAAAGCATGGCAGCAGACCGCGCACAAAATAATGGTTACACTTTGGCTTCACAGGATCATTATTCATGATGGAAGAAAAAAGGTCAAAAATCAAGACTTCAATTATCCCGTTGTTATCTTCCACGCGTCAAAAACCCATTTAACAGCTTTTGTGTGTTAGAAAAGCTTCTAATGACAGAAATATTACTCGGCCATGCTAACGGTACATAGGGGTACACATCACGGTGTACACCCCCCTCACATGGGTGGGGGGTCCACTCGAATATTTTATTCGAGTGGGTCCCCCCATGTGAGAGGATGTACACCTTGATGTACAAAAGTTGATGTACCACTAGCATTTTTCAATATTATTTCCTGTGATACTCTTTTTGCACTCTCAATTTGCTTGCTACATGTACAACATTGTTACCTTGGTACTGCACAGTGCACATCCCATCATATCAACTGTGAACATGACCCTTCTTTCAGTCATCCTCTCATCTCCTAGAACCCTAAATTCTATATGAAAATTAATTTTCTTGTTCATTCTGTGAATCCCATTATAAAAAAAGTGAGTGTGTTTTAGTGAATTTCTACTATTTCTTGATTTAAACTGTGGGGGAATGGACGTTGATTTCTGGGCTGCGGGAGTTCATTCAGCTAAGAAGTTTTCTGCTCTCCAAGATGCCAGACTTGACAACTCAAGTCTGGATAATTGATTAATTTCGTTTTAGTTTTGGGTTCTTGAATTTGCCTTTTTCTTTTTTTCCCTTGCTCTAAATAATTGTTTTTCGTGAGGTTTTGCTGATTAGTTTTTTATAGTTGATTCAGCTTAAAAATTATGCTTCAAGTACTGTTTATTTGGCTATAACCTGAATTTGTAGTGGTTTTGATAATTAGGACGTATTTTAAAGAAGAGGAGAAAAATTGGGGAAATAAAGGCACCAAGTATTGGAAATTTCATATTTTTCACACATTTTGTATCTGGTTAGAGTGTGGAAAGGCGAGATGGAAAAGTTTTAATGAATAATTAATGTTGCTTGAATTTAACAATGCAAGTTTTTGGGTTCTTGATTTTTCTTTTTCTAGCTCCTAATTTTCGCGAAGTTTTGTCAATTATTGACGATTTATTTGTTATAACTGAGTTAGCTTTGGAAATATGCTTTTACTACTGTTTCTTTTTTATGCATTTCTTAGAATTGGCTGTTAAAGAGCACTATTTATTTGGATATGAAATCCTGAATTTGTAGTTGTGTTGAGGATGATAAATAGGACTAATTTATAATTGAAAAAAAAAGGCACCCAAGCATCAGAAATTTCAAATTTTCATGCAGTTTGTGCAGATTTCGACTAGTAGATTGATGAAGGTCGCTGATCCACTTGATAAAGTTTCGTATGTGTAAAAAGGATAGACAATGTCTTTTATTTTTATTTATTTATTTTAATGGATTCTTAATGTTTTGTTGAATCACTTGGTTTTGCAATTTCTTAATGTTAACAATTGTTTGTCGCTGTCCTATTGAATCATAAATGTTCTTAAATTTCAAAACCTGATGATATTTTGTTTCATCAATAGGCAACCATTTAATCATCGATGATGAAGGGGATGATGAAATGAGAGCTTGGTTTCCATGTCCTTTTTGTTATGTTGAAATCGAAGTTCCTGTGCTTTGTATCCATCTGCAAGAAGAGCATTGCTTCGACTTGAAAAATGCCGTAAGATAGTTACCCATTAATGCTGCTTATACTTTTGCTTAATAAACTTATAAATTATTAGTAAAATAAGTAAGTTTTGTAAAATAAGTAAGTTTTCCCCTCTGAGTATGCATATTCAGATAATTTATACTTGTACAAGTAGTTCCATGTTTGACAAAAGAGTTCCTTATAAGTTGACAAACTGGTTCAAGTTTCTTATTAGAATCAAGTAGTTTATTACTCCATCTCGAAAGCGTCAACTTTATCTATTTATCCACTTGATTATGAATATAAAAGTTGATCATAACAGATAATTTACCCAACGTTAGGAGGTTAATAATCAAGAATTTTTTTAATAATCACTTCAAGTAAGTTTCACTCTGCAATTGTTAGTAGTGAATAATTGTGGTTAATCAATAGATGTTTGTACTTACTATTTGATAATAAGGAATCCAGTGGACTCCATTAAATGATTAATTGGAAAATATAGGAGCATGTTTGGCAAAGCTTTTATTATTAGATTATAAGTTGTGGTTCTACTGAGTGTGTGGATAATAAGTGGGTAAAGTAGGTAGAAGTTGTAAGTCCTACGTGATATGTGGATAAAAAGTAGTGTTTGACTAGCTTATGAGCCATTATAAGACTTGTTAAACATGCACTCAAAAAGCTCAAATTAGAATTGGATTTGTACAAAGCTCAAAAGAACAGTCAGATTTTATTAATGCCATTTCTATCCTAACATACATACTTCAATCCATGTTTTTTTTGTTACGAGGCGGAGAGATAACATAATTTTTCATTCTTGAAAATCCTCTTCTAGGTTTGTCCCATATGTGCTGCAAATTTAGGAAAAAATGCAATTGGCCATTTTACGATGCAGCATGCACATTCAATAAAGGTATAACTATCGTCATGTAAAGTAAATTTGACCGATATGGAACCAGTAGCTGAGCAGTGTCTCTTTTTTCTTTCTTAGAGGAGGAAAAAAACTCAAAAATCCGGCTTTTGGAGTAACATATCCACAAACATTGTTATGGACATCAGAGAACTAAGTTCATATTCGATGAGTGGTCAGATTAATGGGAGCGAACCTGCACCTGATCCACTCCTTTCGCCGTTTCTCTACAGTGTGCTCCTTTCGGATTCTAAAGACAGTCAGAAAGATGTAACTTCTTACATTGCTGCCACTAGTGATGTAGAAAGGTTAGTATTTTCTATGTTTGAGTATAGTATTTTTCATCATAATCGTGAAGTGCGGAAGCCAATATAAAGTTAATAATTCTATATGTTTCAGACTCTTTTGCAAAACAATTAATCTGCAAGTACATATTTTTTTTTAACAAAATTGGTGAAGAAAAACAGTTGTCTTCTTGTAATTGGCTATTGTCAAAACAAAAATTGGTGAAGAAAAACATTTGTCTTCTTGTAATTGGCTATTGTCAAAAACTGTTTTGACAATAGCCAATTACAAGAAGACAACTTTTTTTTGTACAAATTCTGTAGAAAAAATCTGTATTTATAGCATTATTGTTTTGACAATAGCTAATTACAAGAAGACAATTATTTTTTTGTACAAATTCTGTAGAAAAAATCTGTATTTATAGCATTATTGTTTTGACAATAGCCAATTACAAAAAGACAACTGTTTTTTTTTACAAATTCTGTAGAAAAAATCTGTACTTATAGCATTATTCTTTGCAAAAATATTTTGTCGATATCATGCTTACGTAATTTAGCAATCTGTTCATGCTATTGATGTATATATCTCATTTGAAACCCGAGCATTTCATTGTACAACATGACAAAGAATCCTACACATGTGAAGCCTTTACATACTAATACCCTATTTGACAACCATTATTTTAAAACTTTTTATTCTATATATTCATTTTCAACCACATATTCACACAATAAATTATTCCACACATAAAACCCTGTGCTAATTGCATCTTTCTCATTTTTCAACCGCACACAATAAAGTATTCACACAATGTTTCTCATTTTTCAACCACACGTTCACACGATAAAAGAAAGTGGACAAGGAGAAAGATTGTACAGATGCACATTAAATATATGATAATTTCTCCGAATTTGCTAAGTTTTACTAAATGTTTGGTGATTAATTGAGTTGGCTTTTAGAGTTCACACTAGCATAAAATGTTCGGTTCTACAATCCCTGCTCTGTTAGTGTAAGTCTGGGTTTGAGTTATGACAATTCTACCCTCCCACATGAAGAGCCTCAAGTATTGAGAGCTTCACTAGATTTCATTTGACCATTTGCCTGGTTAAGTAATATGGAATAGAGTAAAAGTGAGGGATACATGTTTTGGTATGGTGGTGTTGTTTGTGTCTGTTATCACGGTTTTCCTCCGCCACAAGTGAGGAATTTTTAATAAAGTATTATTTATATTTAAAAAATAAAAAAATTGATATGGAATAGAGTAAAACTGAATTTTCATTAAGGCTATTGTTCTGCTATTTATGTTCATATGATGGGATGTGTGGTACTAAATTTTAGCGTCCATCATCTATTATGTTGGTGATCGTGTCTGGTTCATATTGCAATAAATGACTCCCCGAACACCATATTTAATAGGTTCATTGGTTCAACATGGCCGATAGAGTCCTAGATTCAAGTCTCGTAAATATTTTGTGCCTTTTGCAATAAGGATGACGAAATATTTTGTTTTTGCAGCAAGAAACCATCACTGGCAGAAGAAATTCAAGAACAAGATTATGAGGAAATGAGACAAAGAGCTACGTTTCTTCAGGAGCTAATTGCATCAACCATTTTCTCAGACTCAATGGAAGAGGATTAATTCCAGTAAAGCTTCAACAATTTACACCACATTAATTTTAGTTGGTGGTGCATAATTGAAGATCAAATTGTTGGAAGATTACGAACAAAAAATTGCTAAGAGAATCTGAGACAACGTAGAATTTGTGAAGAAGTTCACACAATGTTATCAGTCATCTATTTATAACGTATAATTTGTATGAACTTATGATTATGATATACGATAATGTACAATTTGTCGAAAGAGAGATTCAACATATTATCATGAGTTACTTTTTATTCCAATATTTCGTAGTTTAAAGGGAACTTGTGCTTCCCTAAAACTTATGAGGCCTTGGATAGAAATGCTAGAATAGATTAGTTGCTAGTCTGAATAACTTTTGTTACATAAGAAAAAAGTGTACGAGTGAGAATAGTAAGAAAAGAATCATATTGAAAACATGTCTTAAATATATAAATTTATTACGTCTTCGAGTAATTTATGTTTTGGCCGAGGTGGTTGAATGGCATAATTTTCATAATCCTGCACGCCCAGGCTCCCTCCAATAGGGGGCGTCACTTGGCCCCCCTTATTTAGCCTTGACTTTGAGCCTAGTCCAGAAGTGTTTTTCTTTTCATAAGCGAAATACTTACAAGTCATATACCTTTGCGTAGTCCAATGAATAAATTAAAGATCTTGTTGACCTCTAAAATTTTTAGAGAGGGACAAGACAAATCCTATTGGAAAAAATTTACCCCCAGTTTGGTACCCATTTTCTAGAAATGAAAATGGATGAAATATTTTTTTTTAAAAATGAATTATTAAAAAATAAGTAAAAAATTTTCGAATTACGTGTAATATTATTTTATAAAAAAATTTGTGGTTGAAAATTAAATAGAGAGAAAAATAGAATGTAATTTAATGTAATTTAATAGAGGCCGAACGAGAGCTAAATAAATGTCAATAAGGAATGCTTCAGGGCAGAGAAGCCGTCCCCGTCCCGGTCCGGAATTTATAGGATGCATGATAGGACGAGGACTAAAATTAAAATATCCATATTTTTCGTCATGTTTTCCCATCTACTTATTTATCTATGTTCTAATATCATCTCTTCTATTTTTCAAATACGATTGGAAAATATACATATAAGAGCAAGGATAGATTCGGGGTACCATATTTCCCGACTATGCTCTGATTCTCCAACTAATTGGGGAATCCCTATTCTGTCATAGGGCATGGGCGAGACATTTTGTCATCCCTAAACGATAATAAGTAATAATAGGCATAACATCGTACTATTCCAACAGAGTAATTTTCAACCAATTGGTATTTCAAGCATCACAACTAGCATCAATAACAAGCAAAGCAACAAATACTTTTCTACAACCAGAAGTTTGAGCAAAAGAAACATAAACGACTGAATAATAAAGCCTTGTGATGAAGTGTGAAATCCCTGTTCGACATGCAATAAAATCTATCTACGCTGCTATTCAAGTCGCTCACATAAATTCACAATTCCAAATAATTATAGATATATCTAGACGTACAGCAATAACAAAGAAAAACCTTTTTGTCTTGTCAATACACAAACATGTATTCTATGTACAGGTATACTTTTCACGAAAATCAAACCACCAACAAATTATATAACAAAGTACAAAAGCAATCTACACGGAATGAGTCCAAAATAATTATCAGGCCACAGCTAACAATACCTCACGTCACCTCACCTCAGCACCATCACCATCACCATCACCATCACCCAACTGTTTAGTTCACAGAATAAGTTCCGGCGCATGTCCCAAAATCACCAAATTCCCAAGTCATCGCTTAAAATCACTGCAATTCCCAAGTCAGATTTTATATTCCTTCTCGCCATGCGGTAGTTGTATCTAAAGATAGGTCCATAGCTACGGTTTACACCAACCAAGTCTTGTTTTTGGTCTCCCCTGGTAGTGTTAAAACTTATTGGCATTCTGAAATATCTTGAAACCTTAAGGATGTGTACGACTGATTTAAATCAAACTATTATCTGTGAGTGAATTTGAAATCGAGAGGACAAAACTTACATCTGCAAGGAGGATCCTCGATCCACTAACTTATGAGTCAAATTGCATGTGTCATCATTCAGTTTATATTCAGATATCTTCAAGTCACAGATACTAAGAACTCTATTACGCATCTCCAGAGGAAGTCCATTCAAAAGATTTGAGATAGCCAGTTCATGTCTCTGCTTAAGCTCATCTAGCTCCCTTTGCTGTTCGTTCAATAGATGCTCAAGTTTTTTGACAATAATTTTAAGATCATTAGATTCAATTTCACTTGGTCTTATATCTTCTTCAAAAGCACGAGTCTCGTCCTCTTTTCTACAAACATCATGACCAGACTCATTTTCCACATGCCTGATTGGGGAAGCATCAAGGGATCTGTTCACATCCTTATGACAAATTGAGGATGGTGAATTTTCTTCAGACAAGCTGTCTCCAGAAGTCAATGATCCTGCCTTTGATGGAACTGGCCTCAGTGGAGAGGTTGCATCACTTGTTCTGGGTGAATCAGACCAAAATCTACGACCTGATGGCAGTCTTTCCAAAATCAGAGGGCCGGGACGAGCAGAATCATTTGTTGTGGCGGAAGTTCCAGAATTAGCAGAATCATTTTCCCTTGGGGAAGCACCAGAATGAGCAGAATCAATTTCCGTGTGAGAAGCATCATCAGAAATTGCTTCCTCCAAAATACTATTGCAGTTGATTTCTATGGGTGCCCAATCTGGAATATGAGATCGAATTTCAGAATCAATCATAGCCGCAATTACAGAGACATCATGATCCGTCAAATCCAGCTCTTCCACCATTTCGCTAGCAACAGCAGTTGATGTATCCCCCTCAATATCAAATGGGAAGTGAATATTACGAATATGACCTGAGCTCATCAAGAGATCACATAAATGGATATAATAATGCTTGTGAAGGGATATTTATTTTTTTGGGAATAAGAACTGACTAGTGAGAAAGTAAACAAGAACACAATTAACCTGATGAATCTGCTATTCGGAGTTTCAAGAATATTGTATTTTGGTCTTTTCTTTGACCATGTACTGAGAAGTCTAAACTTCCCTCGGGCATGGTATCCTCAGGTGATTTTCCACGGACAAACCGATCAACATTATCATCTACAAATAGCCAGTTTTAAAAGCTGCGAAAAAGTTAACAAAATGCAATAGCATAGCAGAGGAAGTTTGTAAAACGCACCTGTATTTAGGGGATTAGAATGCAGGGATAGACCTATAATTCCAGAATCCTCGTATGATTGGAGAAAAGGATCATTCAGTAGTTCTTTGGCTGATAACCGCTCAGAGACTTTTGCAATACATTTTTCAATAAAGGCTCGCACTCCAGGATCCTTCACTTTTCCTAATGATGCAGGTTTAATCCCCTTCAGAAAGGATAAAGATGATGAGAAGATCAATCTTATTAACACAGACGAGAGAAAACAAAGGTAATTTCAGAACAACAGTTCTTTATTTTAGTCTAAATTACTTCTACCATGAGCACTGAACCAACAAAGTAACATTATTAGAAATTGTTTTATGAGTCACTCAAGACAATCCACCATTTAGTCATACTGATAAAGTGGAGGAGAATACAAGAGTTTCTATTAGAATTCCATTTAGAATATCATGCACTCTTGATGAATGATGATATGCCAAAATGGCAGACCCCCGAAGCATGAAATCATACATTTTGAGTAGTTATACAATGAGTCTCAATTGGGATGGACTAGTTTAATAAGGAGTTACAAAATGTTGTTCTTCACGGATAGAAGAAGGGACCATTTGGAAAGGCTTTTGCTTCTACTTTTGCATTTTGTAGAAGAACTTCATGAGAAAGTCAGCTTGAGTCAGCTCTCTCAAAAGATTCTACTAACTAGACAAAGTATTTCCAGAAAATTATCTAAACAGATCCAAATGCAACTTTGTAGTCTTAGAAACAGCTTTTTGACTTATCGAAAAGCCCTACTAAATGTGTCCATAACAGTGAACCAGTGAATCTCTACTGGAAAAAATCAAGAATATTTCTTTTGTAATAATACAACTGCTCACTGAACCATGCTGGTCAGAAAAAAAGATAAAAAAGTATATAAAGAAAGTCGAGAACGACTCACTGCTGTCACTTTTTTATATATCTGAGCAGCATTTGCACATTCAACATATGGATACTCAACAGTCACCAGCTCGAGCAAGCACATACCGAAGGCATAGATATCTACAAGCTCATTGTATTCCTCCTCATAAAGTTCTGGTGCCATGAACTCCGGCGTGCCTAGCATCAGAACCACAACTTTGTCATTGCCTTCGCAACCAATCAAATGAAAAACAGCCAAATGGGAATGGGTAAATCGACAAATCAAACCTTACCAATGACACTGTGAGCTGAATGAGCCTGACGAAGAATAGCAGCAAGTCCAAGATCACCGATTTTCACCTCCCCTTGGTTCCCATTCACGAAAATATTATCACACTTCAAGTCCCGATGAATAACTGGGGGGTCGTGGCTATGAAGATAAGAAAGTCCCTCTAGAATTTGACTGGACCATTTTTTTAACGCTCTCACATCAACACGTTTATGCTTCTTCCGATACCTGCACATATGCGCAAATAGATCACAAATCACATTTCACTAGAGTAATACCTTTTTAATAGTAAAAATCAGAATAGATCATTTTAATTTGAACATACTGTCTCAAAGTGCCGGAAGTGAAAATTTCTGTAATAAAGTTGATATGCTCATTCTTGGCATCAATCCACGAGTTGTAAAACTTGATAATATTCTTGTGCTTAAGGGTTTTTAGCAAGTGAACTTCGGAATACAATCGTTCCAAATCCTCGGAATTTCTCAAGAGATCTGCAACTTTAACTTGATTCCAAGCCACCTCTATTCCTTCCCATTCATCAAACGCTCTATATCTATTTTCCCAGCATTAAAATTAAGAATTTACAAAAAATTTGAATTCAATTAAAATTTTATGTCAACAAAAAACACAGTAAAGTTCTAAAACTTATGATGCAATGTATTCTGAAAAGGATACACTTTTTTGAAAGCTCCTTTGCCCAATATTTCCTTGTACTGCAAAATTGAATCCCAAAAGCAAAATAAATAATGAGATTTCATAAAAATATTCACCTAATTAACAAACACATAGTGCACAGAAAATGTATCATAAGAAAAGGCATAGAACAGTTCAAATATAATTGAAAAAAAAATATAGCTTAAAAAGTACAAATTTGCATTAAATACGAAATAAAACGTAAGAATTATACAGACCCGACCGTATCGACCAGATGGATCAACCTCGACGAACTCCGGTTCGGTATCATCCGGGTCGGATTCCGACGGCGAGTCCTGGGGCATTCTCTGAGTGAAATCACCCTAGATTGATCTCAGATTCAGATCTAATCACAAAACTGTGAGCAGCCAATTCAAATCCTTTCTCGCAGCCTAGATCTCAAATCCCAATAAAATTCACAACTTTTTTACTAATACTTGGTAAAGAATATGAACGTATAGATTATCAACTCCAAAAAATTCAAATTTAGAAGCATAAACCAATTTTCTACAAATCGGCGTTGCGTGTGTGTGTATATATATTTATGGGCTGTTTCTTTTTATTTTATTCCATAAAAAATTGCGTTTTCAAATTTGCTGGAAGATTAGGGTACAAAGTGAAGATGCTTAATTGAAAGCTAAAATTTGGAAGCACGTGGAAAGTCAATACCCTTATTGATGACGACTCTATTAAGAGAGATTTTGATCATCATTATAATGTTTTCTTAATTTTAAAACTTGAGTTGGTACAATTGTAATAAGGTTTACACGATCCTTAATTTGATTAGCCGAGTTGGCCCGAATTTTTTTTTTTTTTGGGTAATCGATATCTCGGAAGTGTGAGAAAGCAAAAAATTGAAGGTTGAAAAAACTTTTTTTAGATTTCTAAGACCCATACAATGTATCGTGTAACTTTATTAATTTTAGGATTTTGGTTGTGGGGGCAATTTTGAAAGATTTACTCGATCCTAAACTTAGTTGAGTTGAAATGATTTTTATATATTCTTCTTCTCTCTCTAATTGAAAGCAACGGTTGAAATTGAAGGCTGAAAAACTTTTGTCGTATTTCACAAATTCAAGACACTGATTGAATGAGTCATATGATTTGCCCTTTCAAAGTTCCTTTGCAACCGTCTTCTTCTTTTTTTGATAAATAATTCTTGTGCAAGTTAAATGGCAAAGAAATCCTATTGGTATATCCATCTACAATTATAAAACGAAAATTGTGTTACTAAATAATTAAAAATATTTTAAGCATCACTTTCATTCGAAATAATATGAATTTACCCTTCTTTTTGTCAATACTCACGAGCAAAAGTTTTCAAATAGAAGAATATTTTTTTTCCTTTAAAAGTATAAAGGTTGTTAATGGACATAGCTTTCCCCAGCTAAAAGTTATTGTTTAAGTATGGGTTTCTTGTCAATGTTAAAAATACTTTTAGAATTATCGAATCATTTCTAATTCGTATATGATGCGATTTGTTAATTAGCACAAATTACAACAAGTAACGATAACAATAAACAACACTCGTGATCGCCTGAGAAAGACTTAAGTTGAATTTTGATATCAATTGGACTTGTCATTCACCTTACGCTGGCACATTACAAAGTGTTAGTATACACACGATGCAATGAGTAATGATAACTTATATATACAATTAGGGACGGTGAATCGTGGAATGTAATTTATTGGGGATGTGGTTTAACTATGAATAAAAGGGAAAGATAAACAATGTCATATTGAAGTTGAGACTATCCCTATTTTGTACGGCTAATTTCCACAAATTACTACATAGGACTAATAAAATTTATGATATTTGAATCTCGTGATTCAGAAATTATCAAATCATCTTAAACTCATAAATAAGACAATGTCTAAACACACGAAATTTAACACCCGTGATACAAAATTATCAAAATATCCTAAACAACACACTAGACCGGACATTACCATGTAAAATGCAGTAAACAATATTAAATAATACGAAATACAACTTTTCGAAGATCCAATTCTTTCTTGCAAATCACATAAGTGCTAGAATCCAATGTGAAAAGGCATCACTTTATTATTTTGAATTTAAACTCTAGATTTTGCCATGGATTCCAAGTTACCTTTAGATTTTACAGTTGCAAAATTAATTAAGAGCATCAAGAAATGCGGGCTCAACACAAGTTGATATTTAGAATTGCAACAAGATTCATGAACCAAAAGTTTCAAGAATTCTTGAAGCTCTTCCAACAACCATAAGTATAAAATTGTGTTGAGCTGGCATGGTCTAATAGTGCTGCACCATATCCCGACACAAAAAGGAAACTATAAATAAAACTCTTAGAACATAATCAAACTATATTAGCCGGTTTGGTTTATTAAAATTTAACCAGTAATGGATTTTAGGACTTAGAATTGGAGTAAAACGTTTAACTTTGGGGGCGTTTGTTTCCATTTTTGTAAAAATGAAAATGAAAAATATGGCTGTTATAGACCCCACACAAGAGATAGAAATTCAAATTTGATGGTTTGATGTGATAGATAACGATCATATTTTTCATTTTAATGAGAAAAGAATGAAAAACAAACAGGGGTTATGTATACACATACACAGAGAGAGACACACACACACGGATTGGCCCTACATTAGTACCACTATTCAAATGTCTATCCTTTTGAACTAACAGCATAAGCATCAACACTTTGGGTTTTTATAAAGCATCCCACTCTTGTCCAAGTATTCTTTGCCTCTTCCAACTTATCGGGACGCGAAGTAAAAGTTTAAACGATTAAAAAAGGATAAATTTATTTATTTGAATTTAATATTCATATGCATCTCGCACGTTGCAGTCTCCTTTTCATCGAAGGCCCTGCATGCATGCACAAGTTCAATAAATCTGTGACGATGAATTCTTAAACTTTGATGGTATGTTTTGCATCAATACCAAGATAAATCACATTATTTGAAAATTTAAGTAGAGAAATATTTGTCTTTTTTTTTAATTTAATTTTCACAATGTTCAAAAACCTATCGAATTCTAGATTAGATAATATTATAAATGAAATTCTTCGTTATTAGATCCGATAGAGTTCAATTCCGATTCTCAATATACGATTCTCCAAATTCATGATATGATAAAGCCTTCTCAATGATCAATTTCGTCTTCACTACTCATATTTCCATCATATTTGGTAAATTACTTGTCATAATCCACTTATATAGCCATCATTCAAAGCGTTACGGTTCATACTAGCAAGAAAGTGGGAATGCAAATTGGATTGATAATAAAATAGAATTATGAGTGGTCAATGGTGAGTTGATTAATTAATAGAAAAAAAAACTTAAGTTATAAATAGTCAACTTAGTCTTTGAGAAGCTGTAAACGATGCACCACTGCGACATATGAAAAGGGATAAATTCCACGTCGATTAAATATAGAACTAATTGTGCAACTACTCTTAATAAGATTCGACATTTTAAGATGTAACATCAAGTTATAATAAATAGTAAATCGATTAATTATTGGAGAAAAGAAAATTCTTAGCTAAGTTATATAGGATAACATTCATATTGATCAATTTAACGTTAGGGAAAGTTCCGAACAATATTATAGAAGATTTTGAGATGATATAACTATGACCTTTTCTTGAATATTCAAGATATTATCGTTTGTTCATCAACTCTATAATGAAATGCATTTAAAGTATTTCAATTTTCAATTTAAAAAAATAATAAAATAATTTAAAGAAAAACTAGTTAAAATAAAAGATACAGAAAAATAATAAATATTTTTCAGGAGTAATAAAATTAAGTGTTAAATATAAAGTATTTATAAATACTCTCAAAATGATAGAATGTGCTCTTTAAAAATAGATTGTCTGTTGGAGATATTTTAAAAGGTTAGTTAGCGCTTATGTTCAGGGACGGAGCCAAGATTTTAGTTCAGTGCGGGAAAAAAAAATTTGACGACGAATGTCGAGGTTTTGGTTAGGGATTTAATGACGATAAAAAAATAAAACAATAGTACATCAATACTAAAAACGACATAATTTATATAGTACACTTGTTCTTTGCGAGTTTTCATACTTTGATATCGTTGTATAATAACTTCATTATTGAACCTAAAAAATATATCTTTCTCCATATAAACAATTGTGCTATCATTCATCCACTGATCACCCAATTACTACTAGGAGTGGGATTAATTCGAGATGTCAAATGAATCACAAATACTGAAAGCAACTCAAAAAACTAGTGCAATTCACAATTTCACAAAATCAATTCACAATCTCACAATGCAATATATACTATTTCCAAATACTTGGCAACTTGAACTTGCAATCACAGATTCCCAGAGAGCCAGAGCCCAGAGGCAACATTGAACTGGTGGTCCACTGGAAGTTTGTGCCGCTTCGAGCAATTAAAGAACAAAGTGCTAATTTAATATGTTAAAAACAAAAAACAAAAATTTTTTTAATTACAATTTACACAAATTGAAATAACAAAAAAATAATAATAATAATAAGGGAAAAAAAATTTGGGGTTCGCCTTTTGCTTTTTGGAATCTGGCTTCTTCTTTTGTCGGCTCGGCTGGTTGGCGTTGGGACTTGGCGCCTTGGCAGAGCTGAGGATGTAAAGTCGGAGCCAGAGATGTGAGATGTCAAGATGAGAGCCTAGAGTAGGAGATATACAATAATGGACTGTTGGAGAGGGAAAGGGACCGACGATTGTACTGTAACGACTGTCGAAGACGATAGTTGACGGAGAGGGAAGGGAACGGCGGGCTTTGTCACCGGTGGAGAGGGAAGTGGGTGGCGAAGTGTGAAATCGTCACAGACAAAGTCATGAAGGGTAGAAATTTTGAAATGAATGAATGGGTTTGGGTCAACAATTGATTCAATTGAATTTTGATATGAATGGGTCTAAAACGGGTCATGACCTTGCAAAATTGGGCTTCTCTCTCTATGTTGGATCGAGAATTGAGTTACTTGGTTAAAAAAAAAAAAAAAAAAAAATTTTTTTTTTTTTTAGCCCAAAAGTCCAGTGCGGGCGGACGTATAGTGGCTCCGCCCCTGCTTATGTTAACCACGAAAGAAGTTTGAATGTTGACATAAAAATAGCACTAAATGGAGGCTGAAAGCGATTGGGGTATTTTTTTGGTTATTTTCCATCGACTCTATTGGTATAATAAACTTAGGGCCTTGTCTGCCCTATATTTCCACGCGCAATATGACGCAGGAATTTTCAAATTAGTCAGGAGATCGAGTAGGGGATGGATAACATGATCCCTGCCTCATATCTCGAAAGTCCTTGCCACTGTGGAGATAGGGAGGGCATCAAGACCAGCGGCTATCCTTGAATAAACTAATTAATCCTACCTCCCCCGAACAAAAATGGTACTAAAAGGAAAATCTTCAAGATACTATGCAATAAATGATTTTCATTTCCACTAAGGATGCATTTAATTGTCAATATTTATCATGAAAAAAGTGTTTTTCACCCAAATTTTTACTTTTGTACTGTTTAATTGTTATTTTTTCATGGAAAACATTTTCCTACTTTTGATTACGTGACCTATTTTCCTCAAAATCAAGGAAAATATTTTCTTTAAGGGGAGTAGGATTTTATTTTCTA